CCTGTCCTCCCTCGCCATCCAGATCGTGTCCTCGGGAGAGGGCAAGCTCTGCAACCTGGAGCACATGATCGAGAGGTGAGGAACTTCCTCAGGGAATCTGTGGGAACCCAGGAAATTCCTCTGGAAATTCTCTGCAAATCCCTCTGCAAATTCCTCTGGAAATTCCTCTACAAATTCCTCCGGCTGCCCTGGAGGTCTCAGAGCACAGAGCCCAAGACCTCCCTGTGCCTTTGATTTAGCCTTTGGAAAAAGCAATTACCAACTTTATTTGAGGATTTACAAGTCAAGAGTTGTGGAATAAGTAGAATAATAGTTAGCTGGTCATGGGGGAAATAGAGATTTTTGGGGTTTTTTTAGAATGGGGGTTCAGCTTCCTGCACCGCTCCCTGTCCTCCCTCGCCATCCAGATCGTGTCCTCAGGGGAGGGCAAGCTCTGCAACCTGGAGCACATGATCGAGAGGTGAGGAACTCCATCAGGGAATCTGAGGGAACCCAGGAAATTCCTCTGGAAATTCTCTGCAAATTCCTCTGCAAATTCCTCTGGCTGCCCTGGGGTCTCAGAGCACAGAGCCCAAGACCTCCCCGTGCCTTTGATTTACACCATGGAAAAAAAAAAATTACCAGCTTTATTTGAGGATTTACAAGTCGAGAGTTTAAGTAGAATAAAAGTTAGTTGGTCACGGGGTGAAATAGAGATTTTTGGGGTTTTTTAGAATGGGGGTTCAGGAGGCATCGAGGCTTCCTGCACCTCTCCCTCTCCCCAGATCGTGTCCTCAGGGGAGGGCAAGCTCTGCAACCTGGAGCACATGGTAGAGAGGTGAGGAACTCCATCAGGGATGCTCTGAAACTGGGGTTGTGTCAGAACCCAGGAAATTCCTCTGCAAATTGCTCTGGCTGCCCTGGGGTCTCAGAGCACAGAGCCCAAGGCCCCCCCGTGCCTTTGATTTAGCCCTTGGAAAAAACAATTACCAACCTTTATATGAGGAATTGCAAGTTAAGTGAGTTGAAGTGGAATAATAATTGGGCATGGGGTGAAAAAGAGATTTTTGGGGTTTTTTAGAATGGGGGTTCAGGAGGCATCGAGGCTTCCTGCACNTATATTTATATTTATATTTATATTTATATTTATATTTATATTTATATTTATATTTATATTTATATTTATATTTATTTAGTTTTCAATATTTTATCTTTTATATATTTATTTTTATATTATATGTATCTATAGGTGTATTTATTTTTCTATATTATATAAAATATTTACATTTTTACATATATTGCTATTTAATATTAGCAGGTTCTTATATCTTTCTGACAATAGCAAACTTAAGTCCACTGTGATTAATTTTATTTCTGTTGTCACAGCTCTAAATAGAAACTTGATAGGTGTAAATATCTGTATATTAATTCAACATATATATATATAAAAATAAAATATATATAAAAATGAAAATATTTTATGTATTATGTAAAATATATAATATAAATATGATATATAATATGTAATATATAATATATAGTACATAATACGTAATATATAATATATAATATATAATATATAATATATAATATATAATATATAATATATAATATATAATATATAATATATAATATATATTATGTTATATATTATATATTATATACAATGTCATATGTAATATATAATATGTAATATATATGTAATATATGACATGTCATAAGTAATATATGATATATTATATATAATATATCTATTAATTAATATATCTGTTTATTAATTAAACCCTTGAAACCAGCATTAAAAGCACTGGGTTTCAGTAGCATTAAAGTAGTAGCAGGAAGAAGTTTGGTTTTTGACTTTTTAAGATCACTGCAAAAGGTTTTGGGGGGTGTTCCCAACTGTTTCAGGAGTTTTTTGTGTCAGATAATGTTGGGAAAAATAAAAATATACATACAAACATATACAAAATAAATATACATATACACACACTGCAGGATATGCAGTGTGTGTGTATGTGTATTTATTGGTTATATTGCTTCAAATAAATAAATACTTTTAAAACCCCTTTTAATTATATAAATATAATAAAAATTTTAATGAGCTGCACAATAATTTAGAATTTTAACACCCCCATGGTATTTGTGGGACCATCAAATGCAGGGTTCTGGCGGAAATTCTGCTTTTTTTCCCTTTTCTCTCTGTATCCAAGCCTGGGAGTGAATGAATTACAATTATTATTATATACAGTTATTATTTTTGGTTTTGGTGTTCAGCAGTGCTGAGGCTCCTCTGGGGAAATTCCTGAAGGGACGAGCCAGCGTGGCCAAGAACATTTTCAGCTTTGGCTTTGGCAAGGTGAGTGCTGTGGGAGGGATTTCTGCATGAAATTGGAACATTTTCCCCAGAATCTGCTCTTCCTCACACTCATTATCTGTGCTATTTTAAGTTTTTCATCTATTCTTATTTTTAACTTCTAGTGTATTCTTATTTTTAACTGTTAGGGCGTTCTTATTTTCAGTGTTTTAACTTTTACTGCATTATTTTTAACTTTTAGTGCATTCTTATTTTCAGTGTTTTAGCTTTTACTGCATTATTTTTAACTTTCAGTGCATTCTTATTTTCAATGTTTTAGCTTTTACTGCATTATTTTTAACTTTCAGTGCATTCTTATTTTCAA